CAAATTGAACATAATTAAAGCATAGTGATTAATCTCAAAAACAATATGTAATTATATATTCAATATGTGTTTTCCGATGGTCTTAGGCGACCCCTGTGAAAGGGTCGTTCGACCCCCAAAGGGGTCACGACCCACAGGTTGAGAACCGCTCGCCTAACTGAATAAATGCCTTCCCAGTACTCTTTATACTCTGAAGGTCTTCAGATTGCGCATGCTTTATCCTCCTCCCACCCCCAGACAATTCCCCAGTTAAATAAATAATTAATTAGTGGGCATTTTAAGTCAAATTCCCCAGAGATTCCCCACCTAAGAAAACTAAACTTTGGCCTGGATGGTGTGGCTCAGTGATTGAGCATCAACCCATGAACCAAGAAGTCACTAGTTCCATTCCTGGTCAAGGCACATACCCGGATTGCAGGCTCAATCCCCAGTAGGGGGTGTGCAGGAGGCAAATGATTGATGTCTCATGGATGTTTCTATCTCTTTATCCCTCTCCCTTCCTCCCTCTCTAAAAAAAAAATCGAGAAAAACATATTTTTAAAAAGAAAACTAAACTATGAAGACTATCATATAACTGTTTCATTGCAAACAGTTCAGCCATGTTACTTAGGTTACATAATAATAGTACTTTAAAATTTAATAAAGATTTTTAAAAAATATTTTTTGAAACTTTACCTTTCAAAAATCATTTTTGGAGTACATTTTGTTTCCTAAACCCTCAATTCACTACATACTCTGTGATTTGTTTAACTGAGTAGGCAAACAATGAAGAAAAAACATGTGGAAATGTTCTTAACACAGATTTACCTAATTATAAGGTATTTATAAGCAGTATTATTTTATAATAATATTTAAAAATATCCAATAATGAAAAAATTATTATCTTAAATGTAGTTTGAAACAAAACATGTTGTATAAGTTTGACAGAACCACATTCAGCAGTGAAGATGTGCCCTTGTATTTATTTCTCTATTATGTTGAGTAAAAAAAGACAGATTTTTTACTGTAAATCATGTTTACAATAATTTAGATTCATTAAGCTTTTTTGAAAAATTGTTTTTGAGAGTGTATATGAACGAATACAATATCTTGAGAAGAGACTAATCAAACATGATGAAAAGATGCTATTACCTATATGTTAAGCTATGTCAATAAATGTCCTACCCAAACTTTTCTCCTTTTATAGAGAACATTTATAGTACCGTTAGTCTACCAGGTATATCAGTCTTGCTTTATTTTTCTCCAGCTATTTCACTAATCACATTTTCAAAATAAGAATGCTATGTCTTCTCACTCCTAACATCACTGACACCTCATGCATATATTTTGATTTGAAGATTCATATTTAACCTATATACTTAAAAACAACAGTATATAATGCTATATTTGGTACAGCATCAAAAAATGTATTAGCCATGACAATAATTCTTAAGAGATTCACATTTTATGGAAGATAACATGCAATGAAGAAATAAAAGCTTCACAAATGTGGCTGTAAAGAAAAATTCATATATATAAACATTTTCAAAGTAACTTCTGACTATAAAAAGGAAATTAGACTTTACCATCTCCTGAATAAAAAGGTTTCTGCACATTCTTTGTTGAAGTACAGAGTAGGGGCAGTTAACAGTGGAAAGACCAAAGTTTTGCAACAAAAATCTATATGACTGAGGCAAGCAAGCTAGAAAACCCTAACTCTTCAGAACCAAGCCTTTCACATCCCAGGGCTTAGCAGTGGTTCTCAACCTTCCTAATGCTGAGACCCTTTAATACAGTTCCTCATGTTGTGGTGACCCCAACCATAAAATTATTTTCGTTGCTACTTCATAACTGTAATTTTGCTACTGTTATGAATCATAACAACCCATGTACATACCCTTGTACATACTCTTCAATCAGTAATGTAAATATCTGATATGCAGGATGTATTTTCATTGTTACAAATTGAACATAATTAAAGCATAGTGATTAATCACAAAAACAGTATGTAATTATATATGTGTTTTCTGATGGTCTTAGGCGACACCTGTGAAAGGGTCGTTCGACCCCCAAAGGGGTCGCAACCCACAGGGTGGTGACCCACATGTTGAGAACCACTGGCTTAGAGGAATTAAGGGTTAGTAGGGGGTCTCTGGTTTCAAGTCTATTGACCGAATTGGGGCATCTTAATTTCAATTTCTTATTTTAAAATGCACACTCTGAAAACCTCTTATTGAATAATACTAAAACTCTTTAATAGTGAAAAGACACTGGTCTGCAATAAGAGAAATAAGACAGATATTAGAAAAGAAAGGAGAAATAAAACAAAGACCATACATCAAAAAAGCAATTATCAGAGAGTAGATCTACTCAGACCATTTGCATCCTTTCCTTCATTTCTCCCAGCTCCTACATACAGATACCTCATACTACCATCCTCCAAAAAAAAATCATAAAAGATTGAGTATATTCTTTGCTTTTCCTTTTTATTTTTTATAAGGAAATAAAAATGTTCATGCCAGTATGTCTCACAGTACCCATAAGTGTGAATTTTAGCTGCGTACCCCTGTGTCAGCACTGTGATATTCATAAGTCATTTACACTCCAGTTTTCCCTTTATTTAAGGCATATGGAGATATTAGTTTTCCCCCACAAAGGAGAATTACATCAAAGATGTATATAAAACTGCTATGAAATTGTTCTATGGAGGCATGTTTGTAACAGCACAGAGGCTTAAATGGTCTGGTATTTAATGATAAATAAAACGTTAACACTCTCTTTAAAAACATATGTAGGAGAGCTGAAAGAAGTCTAAAGACTGAAAAAGCTTAAATCATAAGCAATAATGCCAAAACAAATAATTGTGAACCCTAGAAGTTAAATATATTAGTTCTAGTAATAGTCACTTGGGGAAAATAAAAATTCATTATTTGAAGGATAATGTAAAAATGTTGTCATAAAAATATCATTAGGTTTTAGACTTGAATTTTGGATTTGGGATGTATCTCAATTAAATATGAACACTTAACTCTAGTCCTTTATTTTAAGAAAACTCTACAAGGCCTTGTTGTATTTTATACCCCATTCATTTTGCATGATGCCAGGGTATTAGTTCCTTTTGTGTTAAATCACAACAAGCCAGTTCTGGTTCTAGATCTGGTTCTGTCTGTTTCACTTGTGCAGCTGGACTCAGAATGGTGGTATGATTTTCTTTCTCAAAGTGAACACATTAAGGCCAATGCCTAGCATTCTTGAAAATAACATACTGAATCTGCAATTCATATAATGCTAATCTGCATATAAATTTTACACATACAAAAGATTAGTGCCCAACATTCTCTTATTCATTCTAACATTTCCTATTGGTGTTTCTCTTTTTTGGTTTATAGAGTGCACCCAATAAATATAAGTGACATAATCCATAACTTGAAAAGCTAAGAGCCATGACAATATACTGAAAGAGGGAAAAAAGCTATACAAGTGACAGTAATATAAAATGGAAAGGACACACCACTTAGTAAAATAAAATGCATTTAGCTCGTAGCAAAAAATAAAGAAGCTTATCTGTAGCTAGAGAAACATAAATTTGGTTTCTTATTAAGCCAAATTCCCTTAATATGAACATTTAAAACCTTCCCATTGGAGATAAGACACTTATCCTTAATTTAAATATGCAATGTTAAATAAAGCAATGCCAATTCAATATTCTACTTAGCATTTAAGAGTGTGCAGTTACTCTATTTCTATATGTTTTCAGTTGCATGTCAAGAAAATTTATTTTAAAATAGCATGTTGAGCTGTTAATCTGAAGAATATTCTATCTACACATGACCAAACATATAAGGATAGGGGACAGATTTCAAGACCAATACTCTAGAGATTGCTGTTGAGATTGAAAACCTGAATATGCAGGATGGGGCACAATGTAAATGTAAGCAAATTTCTTAGTTCTAGTAGTTAACAGTGAAGTGAACATTTACTCCAGCTCACTTTTACCAGGGAGGTTCTATCAAATATAATATTTGGCATGAACCCTCCAGCGGGGTGCAATTGTGCTGAAGTAGCTATCTCAAAGAATACCATAAAATAATCCCATTCTGCCTTTATGTTTGTAGAAGTGATTTCTTTTTACAAAATACTCTATGCAAACCCCTCGACACAGTACATAAGCACTTGTGTGCTCCATCAGAGAAAATTCCTGGAGACAAATTTCAAGTATGCCACCAGAGTCAAGTCACATGCCCTACTCTACAGAAATACCAGAAATCTGACATGTCGATGGTATTCACAGATGCAGATATATATTTATGGACTCTATCAGCATACATCAAATGGCTATGAATAAAACATCATTTAATTCTGCAGGAATTCAATTCCAACTTCAGAAGTAGAGCATCGCTATATCCCTTGCCAATGTTGAAAAAGAAAGCAAAAAAACAAAAAACCCCACATATCTCAACCTAACTATATCTTTACTACATTACACTCACATTTTTTATCAATGCCCAGACAACTTTAACCTCATGTTTACTTTCAGACAGAAAAATGAAGATAATATTCATTTTCTAAGTTTTTCAATTTTTAGTATAGCCTGGTATATGGACCACTTTACTCGCTGATAGAGACATGCAGAGTGACAAAACATGCATCCATTGAAACAGTAAAAACCTAGTCAGTGATATTTGAAGTCAACTGAGATCATTCACAATTCTCAGTTTCCTGAGCATTAAAGAGATAGTTGTTCTAGATCTCATCAAGTAGCTGAAGCACCTACCGATGTTCTGATCCAAAGATCATCTATACTGTTTGCTATTGAACCACAGAAGATACTTGGGATCCATGACCAATACCCACATTCCAAATCAGACAAAAGATTATAAAGCCAAAGTCAACCCTTTCATACTCAGCCCATGACATGAATGCAGTAATGTTATGCAGGATAAAATAACGCCATACATACAATGACTGGTTAAGAGAGCCTCTTGGATATAAGTAGGGAAAAGAAAAAGGTTCGTACCCACCTGGGATCTTTCTGAATGCTATCAATGGACGGGGATCTGGCCAAGGTGCCTTCGGGCGGGAGGGTAGGGCCGGATTTGCTGTATGGAGACTCAACAGAGGGACAATACTGCAGCTGTCGGTAGGGGTCGGCGTAATTGGAGGCTGGGCCAGCGGCGTAGCTGGCCCGCTGGAAGGTGGCCGTGGCGGCGTTCGGTGGGCCATGCTGGCTGCCTGTGCGCTGCAAGGGGACGGAGTCGACACCAGGGGAAGATGGGGCTAGGACAGGAAAGTAGGGACAAAGTAAAAAATTGAGGACCTGCTCACAGAAACGGTTAACCAGGTCTAAGCAAGGGGGAAAATTACACACATAAAACAAGGGTTTGAAAGAATAAAAAAAAATAATTGGTCATATCTGAACCAATATATTCAATGTTATCCAGTAATGATAATTAGCATGCGATTTCAGAAATACACCTTTCAGCTCTAGAGGACAAGGCATCTATTGTCTGTTTATTACTTACCAACATCCAAGAGAAGGTTTGTTAATCTAAGGTAAAAACAAACCCAGAAGAGGGAATATTTTATAGGGAATCATGGACAGTTAATTATTGTTCATGTTGAGAAAATTCAGAAAGTGTTTGTTCATGTGATGTTACGCTAAGTTCATGAAGGGTGCAAAACAAACTTAGGAACGTAGTTAATTTTCCTGAGTTAAAAAATAAGGAAAAGTGAGGGAATGTGTGCATGGGTGCAGATGGGGCTCATGTTTCCCTAATTAGCACTACGGCAAAAAATGCAGGACTGCTCTAGTTTCTGTTAAGTTGTTTGCTACAGATTTCCATAGATCTCTTTCCAACCAAAGCTGTCAGAGTAACAAATAGATTAGGAGAAGGGTAGGCATGCAGGAGAAGGGGAAGACCAGCCCAACTGTAACCCAGACAAAACAATGAGATTTCTTGGCTTTCTCAAAGCATTTGCATCTTTTCAATGTGCCTAAATTATTTTGAGGAGATTATTGCACCAGTTACCAAAACCAGTATGACTATTTCTAAATTGAATTTCAATTTTTTGTTCCCTTCCTGGATTCTTTTCAGTACATTTCATGTCATGATTTCTGAGATTTTTCTGGGTCTCAAAAAATTTGATACCTAAGATTTTAGTTGACCTGTACAATGAAAGCATCTTTCATATTAATAGAATGTGACCAGGTATTAACTGCTGCAACAATGAATAGCCATGATCAATTTTAGGCAGGGTATTTACTTCCTGGCCTTGTACATAAGAATATACCCAAAAGGTAGCCAGTGTCTAGTATGCCCATTTCTTCCCTGGATGCTCTCTACATGGCATTAGGTTCCAATTATAAATCCGCCCCCCCCCAATTAACTTTGACTTCCCGAGATTCTTAGTGGATGGTGATAGAGTTTATTTATCCTCTCTTACATTAAATGATATAGGGCTTGTCAAACACAAAAGAAATTATGTCATATCAAGAAAACAACTGTTAAAAGAAGTTAAGGAAATCATGTAGAAATGACCAAAGAGTCACAAAGTGAACTGGAGGAACACATTCTAATACTGAAAACTGATTTTTAACTAAGAGATCAGCGCTTATTTCCAAAGCTTCTAATACTTAATCTTATAATAACCAAAATTCTGGGAATAGGCACCAGTGAAAACTAGAAAAATATTTAAGAACAACTTTCTAAACAAAAAGTATGTACATTTCCAGAGGAGCTGACTTTTGAAATGAGAACTGCTCTGATGGATTAAGTTTCATAATGATCAGATTAGACTAATAAACATGAAGTTTACAACCAGAAAATCTGTTTTATGTCTGTTAGGTCACAATCAATACGATAGTAGTGATAATTTAAAACTATAAAATCAGAATTCAAGTTGGTAACTCCAAATTGAAATAAATTAGAAACTGATCAATGCAGTAAAATAATGTAAAATACCAATACAAATGTGGAGAAAGGTTATGGGACCATATGGAAAAAAACAAAAAACACGTGTGAGAATCTAACAGGTCTCAAATTAGCCATCAGTAATGCCACCATGTACTGCCTTATGCTTTTAAACATGACATTAAAAAAACGACTTCAACACATAAAGATTCAATTCTCCCTTTCTGCAGTGCAGACCTGGTGTGGCTTATGCAAACCACGGCTCTTTATTTGCATGGATAAGCAGATGTTGGCCACACTATTAGAAGATTTTCTTTTAATACAATATTTCCCTTAATTCCTGTCCTGTTATACATTTTCCTTACTTAAATTTTAGAGCTCCGTTGATCAAATCACCTGTCTGGTAAGATTACTCTATTCAATTGAACCTTCTTGTGGCAAACACTTGAAGTGGAAGGTGCTTCATTGGGTCTGTAAGCACCCCTCTTCTCACTTGCCCTGCAAACAGCCCCTTCTCCCTCAATAAGCTCTTAGAACTCAATGAACCATCACACTGGTCTCTTTGAGGAGATTTTAGAATTCGCCTCTTCAGCAGGTTACTTGATACTTCACCCGACATCTATGTTGTCATGAAATTATCTGTTTTCCATAGAGCTACACAAATAAAGGTCTAGCGTGTAAAAAGATAGATGTTTTACACATTATATTTGAAAGAGGGGAAGAGAGATCCTTTTTAATAAAATCAAACATTCTCCAGGTACTCTGATGATGATAGATGGCTATATGTATTATTTACTGACAGTGGGAAAAAGAACAGAATAAAATGGGTGGATGTGTATATACAGAAATATGAAAACATAAAAAAACACATTTACATATGTTACATAAATAGCATGCAGTAAGCTAATTAAATGCTATGAATTCCCTCTGCAAGTTCAGAAAATAAAGATGGCTTAGGTGACAGTGGGTCCAAGAACAAGGCCTACACACTCTTCAAGAGAGTTTAATTCTGTTACTTTAGGAATGAAGGACCTTTAGCATCAAAGCCACTACATTTTCAACAGGATTATCATTTAGAATTAACCGTAAAGGTCTTTCAATTTTCTGCACTCCGCACAGGCTGATCCATGCCAAACGCAATGGAAAATACCCAAGGTAAATTTAAGATAATCTTTTAATGTCAGATATTATTACATTTGTGGGGAGTGGCATTTAATGCAGAATTTTTGTAGTGTGGAATCATTATTATTGAAGTTGATGCTTCTGAATTTTACCATGAACTGTTCTACTAGCAAACACTCTGTCTTCCTTCAGCTGTAATTAGATTTTTTATTTACACCATTTTACATATAAAATGAGTTGATATAGGTAAGCATCTGGAAGCTCTTCCTAGCTTTAAGACACTATTTATCATTGAGCTTATTAAACATTTCCATTTGGGTGATAATTTGCCCCTGTCTTTTTAGATTAAAAAAGGGTAAAATTTTAAACTAAGAAGTTATCTGACTTGCTCCAATGGGAAGTAATCATTTTTACAGTTTGAAGTAACAGCATTCACAAACAATAAACTGTGAATAATCCATATTTTTCTGGACTTAACTGATAATTTTAACTGAAAATTTTATTTATGTATCATTGAAGAATAAAAATAAAATTTTATGAATATGAAGGTTCTATGTAATTCTTCTATAACTTTATTAAGCACTGGCTGGTATTGCAGAGAATAAAGATTTTTAAAAATATTTTGCCTACATGTGCAAATATTTTTACCACATTCTTTTATTTTATTAAAATATTTTTATTGATTTTAGAGAGGAAGGGAGGAGAGAGAAATAAAAACATCAATGATGAGAGGTAATTATTGATCGGCTGCTTCCTGCATGCCCCACACTGGGGGTCCAACCCGCAACCTGGACATGTGCCCTGACCAGGAATCGAACCCTGACCTCTGGGTTCATGGGTCAGCGCTCAACCACTGAGCGCACTGGCCAGGCATTCACCACATTCTTTTTTCTTTTTATGTTGCAATACTTGTCAACCTCATAAGAATATTCAGCATGTTTTCCCCTTGCAATGTGTCTGTGATAATTCATTCTTTTTAAAAATATATATATTTTATTGATTTTTTACAGAGAGGAAGGGAGAGGGAGAGAGAGTTAGAAACATCGGTGAGAGAGAAACATCGATCAGCTGCCTCCTGCACACCCCCTACTGGGGATGTGCCCACAACCAAGGTACATACATGCCCTTGACCGGAATCAAACCTGGGACCGTTCAGTCTGCAGGCCGACGCTCTATCCACTGAGCCAAACCGGTTAGGGCAATAATTCATTCTTTATTACAAGCTGACACTTCCATTACCAAAAACTCAATTTCTCCACTCACTTAGAATCACATTTATCTATCGGGAAATTCATGTGTCTATCACTGATGCAGACGTCAGCCATTCTCACTAGTTTAGAGAGATGTGTTCGCGGGGTTGTCAGAGGCAAGAGTTTGTGTTAATCAAATGACTCCTAAGTTGACAGTCATCGATATGTCTTGAGTTTGAAATACAAATTTGTGTTATTTTGTTTCTGCTTAATAGACTCCAGCACAAGAAAATTCACGAGGCTCACATATTCCTTGTCTGGCTGTGTCTATTGTACAAACTCTGGTTTGGAGAAGCCTTTTCCCAGATGAAAGGTATGTTTTATTTCAACAGACACCCTAGTTAAGAGTGTGCCTCTTTAGATTTTCATCGTGCAGGATGTTAGATTAGTTGTCCTATAAAAGCAGGTGGGCTTGTTCACACCACAGTCCTCCTCACAGGCCTGCTTTTCCTGCTGCCGTCCACACGATTCTGCCTCCCTGCCCTGGAAGAGGGCATAAATGCCAGCCTGCCTCTGCCTCTCTCCTCACTTACTGGCCCCACAGACAGGAGTGACTGCCATGTCTGGTGAGATGGCACCCTCTGGGGAGCCCTCTTGACCATGAACCACTGCAGATTCAGTAATTTTTACCTGAATCAGAAGGATTTTACCTTCTCTGGGGCTGTGAGGCTGGCTTCTGTCTCAACTTCTCTCTGCCTCCCTAGTAAGAGCACATCTGGGCCCAAGGAGGCCAGCGGGCCACCTGAGAGCCTGCCCCCTTCTGCTGGCCTGGTGAGCAAGAGGTCTGCGGTTCTTGTCTTGCAGTGGATGGGGTGCCTGAGCCTGAAGTGTCTAAGTGAGGTCTGGGGGTGGGGGGGAATCCTCTTTAGACCATGTTCTCTGGCATAGCTGTGGCCAATAGGGGGCCTGCTCAGTTAAATAAAATCTTATTAATTTTCCATGTGAACAGTGAACTTATTTGTATGTTTCACCATCCACAAGCCTGGAGCAAAAG